TAGAGTTATTTGGAAACCTATCATTGCAAAGGAATTTTAATAAATTCTCTCAATAAAGGAAAAATAAAGAGAATAACTTTTGTTAACAGACAAGTGATGTGGAAAAAAAAAGGGGGTATATTTTAAGTAATACCTACAGAAGGTTTTGGGGGAAGAAACGTTGTTTTTAATGATACAAAGTTAAACATAACAACTGAACACATACGAAAGGATTCAAGAAGGTGGCATCCACAAAGCCCCCCAGGCTTGGTCTGTTTGCCTATATTGTGATTTCAAAAGTACGAGAATAGTTTCTTCATTTCTGCCTTCCAAATCTCATGCAAGTTGGGATGAATTGAAACAAGGAGCCATAAAAGAAAGGTATTATTGTCACTGTAATTCCTAACATGTCCCACAATAACATAACAATCCAAGAGATCCACCTCCAACTATTTATTTCATTACCATACTTAGGTTTCTTTTAATGCAAAGACCATTGTCTAATTTACAAACAGAAGCAAGGACAATGGCAAAGGGTGAAAAAAATTCACTTCAGATTATACTTTAGAAAGAAATTTGCATAATTACAAATTTCTGCCAACCATTTACTGGAAAGCAAAATGGAATAAGAGCACTGGCAGTTTAAAGAAATGATTCAGTAAGAAAAGTAGAGTATGTGTCATATGTAACTGATACCCATTATCTACCACACTAGGCTTATTAAAAAATTTCAACAAATAGAACATTGTAATTGTTTTAATAATCATTATTTACAGAATCCCATAAAATCACATAAACACCTACCTTTATGTTAAAAACATACCTTCAAACACCCACTGGTCTGTGGACTTCAAACTAGAAAGATAAAACTTTTACTTACTAAATAGTAAGAAAACGCATTACCTGTTAAAACTTAAGGAGCCCTGATGATGCAGCTGGTAAAGCACTAGGCTGCTAACAGAAAGTGGTGGTGATTTGATCCCACCAGCAGCTCACAGGAGAAAGACGTGGCAGTTTGCTTCTGTAAAGATTTATAGCATTGGAAACCCTATGGGACAGTTCTACTCTGCCCAACAGGGTCAGTATGAGTTGGAATCAACTTGGCAGCAATAGCTTATCCTTCTTTAAAATTTTGTTTTGGTCAACATTTACGTACTACAGTTAAAAGGATCCTTACGGATTTTTTTTCCCTTCATTTTTATTTCTGAAAAGTAATTAAATAGAAATACACAACCTATCAGTCCGCTTTACGGATGAGGTACTAATAAAGGCAATTAACACATCCACAATTTTCCTAAGATTGTTATCACGGTATGAATTTTCTAGAGCATGAATTACTTTCCAGGAGGCTTTCCCATCTTACATTTATGCTAATGCTCTCTACTGTGTGTTCTTACATGATATTTTAAAGCAGAAGAAGAATTAAAAGCTTTTCCACATTGCTTACATTCATACGGTTTCTCTCCTGTGTGTGTTCTTTTATGTATTGGCAAAGATGAGGGACTCTTGAAGGCTTTCCCACATTCTGTACATCTGTAAGGTTTCTCTCCACTATGCATTCTCACATGCCTTCGAAGGTAGAAGAGTTGATTAAAGCCTTTCCCACACTGCCTGCATTCATAGAGTTTCTCTTTGCTGTGAGTCCTTTCATGCCTTCGAAGGGACTGAAGATAAGAGAACGTTTTTCCACATTCCTTACATTCGTAGAATATCTTGCCAGAGTGCTTTGTCATATGCTCTCGAAATGATATAGACCACCTGAAGGCTTTCCCACAATCCTTACATTGATAGGGTTTGGCTCCAGAGTGTGTTTTCAAGTGATTCCGTAACGAAGACTGCCAACGGAATGTTTTCCCACACTGATTGCACTCATAAAGTTTCTCTAAAGTGTGCACTCTCATATGTCTTTGTAAGTATAATGGCCAACTGAAAGCTTTCCCACATTGTTTACATTCATAGGATTTCTCTCCACAGTGTGACCTCCTATGTGTACGCAATGATATGGGCCAAATGAAAGCTTTCCCACATCGCTTACATTTGTAAGATTTTTCTTCAGTGTGTGTTCTCGTGTGTGTTTGTAAAGATATGGGCCATTTGAAGGCTTTCCCACATTGCTTACATTCATATGGTTTCTCTCGACTGTGTGTTCTCATATGTCTTATTAAAGATGAGAGCCACTTAAAGGCTTTCCCACATTCCTTGCATTCACTGAATTTCTCCTTATTATGAGTCCTTTCATGCCTTTGAAAGGAGTCAAGAAAACTGAAGGTACTTCCACACTGTTTACATTCATAAAGTTTCTCTTTACTATGGACCTTTTCATGCCTTCGATAGGATCGAACATGAATGAAGGTTTTCCAGCATAATTCACAAGCATAAGGTCTTTCCCCACTGTGAATTCTCACATGCCTTCTTAGTTCTGATGGAAAATCAAAGCCCTTCCCACAATCTGAACATTGATATGGCTTGTGTCCAGAGTGACTTGCAATGTGCCTCTTAAATGACGAAGGATACACAAAGACTTTTCCACACTCAGTGCATTCGTATGGGTTGAGTCGCGTAGGTGTTTTCTTGCACAGGTTAAGATTTGGAATCTGGCTGAAGGTTTCTCTCCATTGATTACCTTCATTACTTTCACAAAGTCTCTCAATCACATAATCTCTGTTAAAACACAGAAGCACATTATAATGTACTACTGATTTATTAATATTTGTTAATAACTACTCAGATTCCATTCAAATCATTTTAGTAATAAGTACAAATTAAACCCCAAAACCAAACCCACTGCTATCAAGTTGATTCCAACTCATAGTGACACTACAGAATTGCCAGATGTGGTTTCCAAGGCTGTAAATCTTTATGGAAGCAGACTGCTTCATCTTTCTCCCATGCAATGCTGGTGGGTTTGAACCACCAACTTTTTGGACAGCAGCTGAATGCCTTAACCATTGTACCACCAGAACACCTGAAAACCAATGAAACCTACCTTATTTTCTACTCTATGTGCATTATCTCAAAGTGGGATAAATGGAATGTTCTGAAAGAGGACCAGACCACTGTCATGATTAAAACAGTGTTTCTTATATATATGGAGTTTTTGGCTCATTGTTTTCAAGAGAATTATGTTTCAAACTCTTGATTTGTAAGTCACATTTACTGAAAATTTGGCTGTGAAAATAATTTTTTAAAAATTTTTATTGTGATTTGGGTGAAAGTTTACAGAGTAAATTCATTTTCCACACAACAGTTCATACACATTTTGTTTCTTGGAATTGACTGTAATTCCCCCAATGTAACAGCTTTCTTCCTATTTCCTCCCTGTAATTACCTTTTCCTTGTGTCCTTCCTTTCTGTGCATTCCTGCCCCCTAAGCTATCTCCCTATGCAAATACTGTACTTCTATTCTCCCATGATTGATCATTCTAAGTAGTCTTATCTACCTGATATAAATATTCACTCTATATGCCTGTCCACTGCTTGGCTGGAAGCCACGGGAGTGAGTTCAATTCCAGACCTGAAAGATAAGTAGGGGCCATAGTCTCAGGGGTCACACCAGCCTCTATCAGACCAGTAAATCTGGTGTATTTTATGTGCAGGGAAGTGAATTGCTTAATATGGCTCTCCTAGCCACTGTCCTCCATTTTGTGATGTATTGTAAATCCTATTCTCTATGTCTGTTTGTTGGGGTAGGATATACCTTGAGTCCCGCTTTGCTAGAAGGTGTTACTCAGTCACCACTCTTAGCTTCTTAAGATTATATATGTGAATGTTCTGCGAAAGCTCACTCTCTTGCTCCGGTTCCTCATTTGGTTTGTCATCATGTCACCCCTGGACTTGAGACAGCAGCCATCATCTGACCCACTGATTTGAGCTCGCCAACCCCTGTAACCATGTGAGTTGGGAGAATCCTCCAGATGTACCCACAGACCTGGGACTTGTCAATTTGCCAGCCTCCCAGCCTCCACCATCACCATGTGGGGCATTTCCTTGGGAGTTTTTGAGTTCTGTGAGACGTTACAGCAAAATACAGAACCCTAAGATAGGAGGGAGATTACTGAGGGGAGGAGGAGGAATTGATGTCAGAGATGATGGAATGGCATGGCAGTTTAGAAAAGTTGGATGTTTGGGACATCTTTAATCTCTGCCTCACAGGGACGAGCCTTGTGCTAATTCTTCTGAGAAATTATTTAAGCATATGATTTAGAATTTTTTTCTACATTGTTCTCCCAACTCTATCCAGGATCTCCTGCACTGACTCCAAGTGGCTGACAATAGTAGCCGGGCATCATTTAGTTCTTCTGGTATTATGGTCATACAGGTTGAGGACCTCATGTTCTACTAGTCTAGACTAATTATTTCTATGCATCTTTGATTTTCTTCATCCCTCTTTGCTCTAGATGAGGAAAGACCCACTGTTGCATTTAGATGTCCACTTGCAAGCTTTTAAGACCCCAGTTGCTACTCACTAAAGTAGAATGTAGAACAATGTCTTTGGGTAATATGATATACCAGTTGAGCTTGATGTCCCCTGTGACCATGGTTCCAAGCCCACAGGTCCAACAACTTGCTCTATCAGGGTGGTTGACTATGCCTAAATTGTGCCCCATGTTAGTTCTACTTAGATGAACATTCTTAAAGCTCATACAAATATCATCTGCCAACCTTATATATGACCATGGGTATATTCCCTTTTGCCTAGAATTGCCTGATCATTCAGCCTGTCCAACCTTCTATTTACCCAAAGATTATTGTTTGTTATCACTGATAATGCAGTATTGTATATATAAAAGGGTTTGTCTTTGTTATCTGTACCACTATGAAATTATCTTGTGAATGAATAAAGATGAAACTAGGTTTATCTGTTTTTTTTGCTTATTTGTACGTTTTTTTAATTTAATGAAATAAAAAGATTCTGTCCTGGGATACTATGTTTTTTTTTTTCTTGAAACTATGTTCTCTTGATTGTGCTACTCACCTCAGAGGCATCCCCTGGTTCTTATGCTGATCTTCAATGCTAAAGCCTTCCCAAATTTTCCCTAAAATGGAGTCCCAAGAATAATTCCTTGTGAATGTTACTATTTTATCTTCTTTGGCTTTTTTTATCTCATGAGTGTCCTGTGAAGAAGCTGATCTATTGGTTTTAAATGGAGTCTCACCATCTGAAAGGAAAAGTGAACAAAACTCATGAGGAAAAAACAGAAACAAATAACAAAACAATACATTCAGAAATTAAAGTGTTTTAACCAAAAACTCATTGCTGTTCAGCCAGATCTGACTTGTAGTGACCCTTCCTTGGGTTTCCAAGGTGGTATCACTATGCAAGGAGATTGCCCAACCTTCCTTCCAAGGAGTGGCTGGTGGGTTTGAACCACCAGCCTTCTGGTTAGTAGTCAAATGCCTTAGGCACTATGCCACCAGATCTCCCAAAAGTGTTTTAAGACTTCATTAATAATAAGCAAAAGAGCTGAAAATCAAAAACAACATTATAGACACAGTAAAATACCCTCAAGATTTCTAAAAACAAGCATCTCTTGGCCCCAAAGTGACCCGCAAGACCTAGTTTCACTGGATGACAGTAGAGAGATTCAAGTCTTTTAAACAAGAGAAAAAGAAAAATTGAGTTTAATACACAGACTCTACCACCATGATGGTGGTGACCACATCTGTCTCACAAACCAATGTATTCCGCTTTCCACATTTCAAATTTTGGAACGGGCCTGATGAGTAGAAAATGCTTGTTGTTTAAATAACTTAGTGAAGAAGCAATGTCATTCTTACCTACTGATGCCAAGTTCCTGAAGGTTTCCAACATTACGTCTCTGTAGAGCTTCCTCTGAGCAGGATCCAGCAAAGCCCACTCCTCCAGAGTGAAGTCCACAGCCACATCCTCAAACATCACAGATTCCTAAAACATGACGTATGCGTGCAGGACGATGAGTGAAACAGAGAGCACTGAGGACTGGAGTCAGCTCACAGGAAGCTGAACCAAGATTTTAGAATCTCCTAGAAACTACCCTATGATCCAGTCATCAGACCTCTTACTCTGTTTCCATGAACTAACTTATAGATTAAGCAGCACTACTGACACATGCTGGCAGTTCAAACCCACTAGCCACTCCTCAGAAGGAAGGTTGGGCAATCTACTTCTATAGTGATACCACCTTGGAAACCCAAGGAGGGGTCGCTATGAGTCGGGTCTGACTTGATGGCACATAACAACAACTGACACATGGAAACAGTCTCCACATTTTCACTGTGACCACTTCAACTCTTACTCTTCTCTATCAGAACAAGTGGTGGATAAGTTTGTGTGTCAACTTGGCTAGGCTTGGTTGAGTGGCTGAGCAGCTGAATGTAGTCCCCATGGTGAGACTGGTAATTAACTCCATAGTTGAATCTATTGTAGCAGCTGAGTAGATGCTTTGGGTATGTGGTCTGCTTTCCGTATATAAGAAACAGTTTTGGGTATGGTCTCAAGATTATTGCATGCTTGGACCCTGCATATAGCCGTGTAGTTGTTCAGCAGCCTGCCATGCTCTGCCGACCTTGGGACTTACAATAGACTTTAGTTAATGGCCTGCCGTGTGGTTTGGTAACACCGGGACTGTGCCATTTTATTTGTTGACCTTGGGCTCGTTAGCCTCAGCAGCCAGCAGCTGCCTGAGTGAAGAGATGCCTCTAGCTTCAGTGGGCCAGTAGCAAGCGGCAGAGCTGAAGTCCAAGGTTGAGGGGCTTTCACCTAGCCCCTAGAGCCTGGCACTTTGAACTTGGACTTTTAGCCTCCTGATCTGTAAGGGAATAAACTCCTGTTTTTTAAGGCCATCCCATTTGTGGTATACTTCTGTTAGAGTGGCACTAGGTAACCAGGACAGAAGGGTTCAGGGTACAAAGGAGAAATGAGAGAGATAATGTATAAATGAAACAACTCTTTCCATTTTAAGATCATCAATGCCTGGTGAAGAAACTCTTTCATCTGCTTGCCTACTGCTCACCACATCACTCAGTATTACGTGAAACACAGGATCAAACCTAGATGAAGTTTTAAGAAATAAAAACTCTTTGAATGGTGGGCAGTTTTTCCTTCAATTTTCCTCACTGAATGTGTGAAGAACCAAGAGGCCTACTGCAGTTCAGCGAGTTGCTGGGTACGGCCAGCCCTTCTAGCCACAGTCCTCCATTTTGTGATGTATTGTAAATCTAGTCTCTGTACCTGTTTAGGGTGGGATGCATCTCAAGTCCCACCCTGCTGGAGGGTGTGACTCAAGTCATCACCTTTAGCTTCCTTGAGGGTACATCCGTGAATGTTCTGGGAAAGTTCACTCTGGTCTTGTGTTTGGTTCATCAACATCTCACCCCTGGACCTGAGACAGCAGCCAGTGATCTGACTAGTCAATTTGAGTTTGGCAGCCCCTACAACCACTCAGGTGGGTAGAATCCTCCAGACCTATCCATGGACTAGGGACTTGCCAGCCTCCTGGCCTCCACCATCATGTGAGGTGTGTCCTTTGCAGTTTGTAAGTTCTGTGAGATGTTACAATGAATACAAAACCCTAAGCAAGCCAGGAGGAAAGAGTACTGAGAGGTGTAGGAACAGATAGAGATGACGGAGTGGTACAGCAGTTTAGAAAAGTTGGGCATTTGGGACATCTTTAACCTCCACCTCACAGGGACCAGCCTTGTGCTGATCTTCTAAAAGAAATTGAGTACCTACTGAAACCCAATTTACAGCAAGGGCCAGCTAGCTACAACTTCCAGTGGCCAGGTCCAACTGGCTACATGAAACATTGTGGAGCAGTATTCATTTTAACTATTTGTGGAATGTTGTTGTTGTTAGGTACCATCGAGTTGTCTCTCATGGTGACCCTATGCACAGCAGGACAAAACACCACTTGGTCCCACACCAGCTCCACGATCCTTGCTATACTTGAGCCCATCGTTGCAGCCACCGTGTCAATCTATCTCATTGAAAGGCTTCCCTCTTTCGTCGACCCTCCACGTTACCAAGAATGACATCCTTCCCCAGGGAATGGTCTCTTCTGACAACACGACCAAAGTAGGTGAGACAAAGTCTGGCCATTCTCACTTCCAAGGAGCATTCCGGCTGTACTTCCTCTGGGATGGTTCTGTTAGTTCTTTTAGCAGTCCATGGTACTTTCAGCATTCTTCATCAGCACAACTCAAAAGCATCAACTCTTCTTCAGTCTTCCTTATTCACTGTTCGGCTCTCCCATGCATATGAGGCAATTGAAAATATTATGGTTTGTGTCAGGAGCACCTTAGTCCTCAAGGAGACAGCTTTGCTCCTCAGCACTTGAAAGAGGTCCTCTGCAGCCAGCTTGCCCAGTGCTATACGTTGTTTGATGTCCTGACTGCTGCCTCCATTGGTGCTGATTGCAGAACCCAAGCCATGTGAAGACCTTGACAACTTCAATCTTTTCTCCATTCACTGTGATGTTGCTTACAGGTCAAGTTGTGAGAATATTTGTTTTCTTTATAGTGAGATGTAATCCATACTGCAGTCTATAGTCTTCAATATTCATCAGTAAGTGCTTCAAGTCATCCTCACTTTCAGCAAACAAAGTAGTATTGTCAGCGTATCACAGGTTGTTAATGATTCTTCCTCCCAATCCTGAGGTCACATTCTTCTTCATATAGTCCAGCTTCTCGGATTATTTGCTCAGCATACAGGTTGAATAAGTAATGGGGAAAGGATACAACCCTGATGCATTCTCTTGATTTAAACCACGCAGTGCCCCCTTGTTCTGTTCGAACAACAGCCTCCTGGTCTGTGTACAGGTTCCTCGTAAGTACAATTAAGTGTTCTGGAATTCCCATTCTTCTCGATGTTATCCATAATTTGTTATGATCCACAGAATCGAATGCTTTGGCATAGTCAATAAAACAAGTAAACATCTTTCTGTTATTTTTTACTTTGAGCCAAGATCCATCTGACATTAGCAATGATATCCCTCGTCCCACATCCTCTTCTGAATCTAACCTGCACCTCTGGAAGTTCTCTGTCAATATACTGCTGCAACCCTTTCTGAATTATTTTCAGTAAGATTTTACTTGCATGCGATATTAATGATATTGTTCTACAATTTCCACATTCTGTGGGATCACCTTTCTTTGGAATGGGTACAAATATGGACCTCTTCCAGTCAGTTGGCCAGGTAGCTG